GCATCTTGAAACTAACCTTTAAGTAAGGATATAATTGTAGAGTAACCTTTTCACCAATCGAATATTTTTAAATCCAAGTCAGAAAATATACTTTTCTAATATTATATATGACACATTGCATTTTATCATTTTAGTAATCTTACCAGTTTTTAATTTCAATTGTATATATAAATTTAACAGTTTTCATCTAGAATAATTAGTTATAATATAAGATTGATTGTACATAAAGATTTTTTACATTTTTTATTGAAATAAAGAGAAACCCCCATGCCAGGTCCCTGACCCACACATGTTAGGGGAACTAGTGGGCGGAATAAAGCCGCCCAAAAAAATATATATATATGTATATAGGTTGCGGTATATGCAAGAGAAATAAATTGCCATTTTCCGGTGAAATATTGACATTCCTTACGTTAAGTTAATAAGTCTACTACTTTTGACCTATAGCAGAGCTAAAATGTAGAATTTATATTTTTGTATTACGATACACTATTAGGTACTTTTATATTATACTTTAAATATAGACCTAGAATCTCCTTAATTACCCTTAATTAAGATATATCGTCGTGTATTCTTAGATTGGATTTTATTTTGATTAATGTTAATTAATTTGCGTTATCAAGATTATAATTCTTTTCCATTTACTAAATAGAATAGAACACATTACTGATATAGCCCCCGGTCCTGTTTACGAACGAAATCGTTTAATTTATTCGTTTGCGAGCTTACGGTTTCTCTACATTTCCATTTGATGTAGGTTCAAAAGAACTATTTATTATAACTTCAACATGAACAGGATACGCCACTTCGACATATTTTAGAAAGAGGTCGATGAACTGAATGTATTTATTTTACATTTGTCAATCTTCACAGATGTGTTTTAGAAAAGATAAGGTGCTTTCACTTCTCTGGTTGGGGTCCTGGTTCATGTATGCAAACAAATATTATATCTCTATGATAAGTACGGATATTTTCAATTTTGCTAAAGTTGTAAAACACATTCTTTAAATCAAAAACTATCAATTACATAGCGTATTATGTTTAAGATAAGTTTTTAAGATGTAACAAATTACATAGTAAATAATAGCCGATACTAAAATTAACTTATACCGTTCTTTATAAAATACTAGTTGTCGCCCGCGACTCCGTCCGCGTAATTAAAAAAAACTTAAAAACAGCCTATGTGTTTTTCCAGACTATTCTCTACATCTATGCAAAATTTCAGCAAGATCCATGCAGCCGTTCCGGAGATACCTTCAAACAAACATCAATCCACCCATCTATCCATCCATACACCTAAACATTCGCATTTATAATATTAGTAATAGTAAGATGGTCTGTTTCAATCACATAATGTAGAATATAAAATGTTTCATTGTTTATTTCCATGAAGATTCCCATTTAGTATACGCATATAGAATAATACATTTTTTTCGCAGTGTCAGTGACACACTTAGATCGGAATCTCGTGATAACCTACTATAACAAGAAGGAACTAGAAAATAATTGCAAATTTATTTCGATAACATCTTACGAGTAAGTTCGGACTCGCCTACAATTGTAGCTTTTTTAGGTGCTTGAATAAAGTCGTTTTATTTAAACCGTTATGCCTAAACAAGAGCATATCATAAAACATTTTGATGAGTCCTAAAAAGTTATGGTATTCTATAAAAAGTGTTTTATGTGAATTGTTAAAGTGTTTCTAAAAAATTACATTTCAAATGCTTAAAAATAATTTTGACGTTATATTAGATATTGAATTTTAATTGTCGTAGCATATAAAATTCATGTTGTCTCTAATTTTTTTAAAGAGAATCATCATCAGCTCACTATACGGACCCACCGAGGAGCTCAGAGCCGACCTTAAGTTAAGGGTGATTAGGCCATAGTCAACCACGTTGGCCCAGTGCGGGTTGGTTGACTTCACACATATCTTTGAATTTCTTCTCAGATATGTGCTGGTTGCATCACGATGTTTTCCTTCACCGTCAGTACGTCGGATAAATGTACATATGTAAATCGGAAATCGAAAAACACATTAGTACATGGCGGAATTCGAACCCAGGACCTGCAGATTGCAAGTCAAGTGCTTGACCCCTGAGTCACCGACGCTCTTACGAGAATTAAGAGCAATAATTATGTGACGGCAGTATTACGACTTGTAAGTATTGATGATTGATATAATGGATCTCACTAATAGCCGAATGGTTAAAGGTACGGATTTCCGAACATGTAGTCATTGGTTCGAATCCGCAATTCGAATACTGTCTTAAACCATATACTAGCACAATTATAATTATCGGGACATTGGATAAAATTAAAAAAATATCATTCCAATCAACAAAAAGATCCTAGGTTATACAAAAAAAACCTAGACCGAATAAAACAATATACTTAATTTTTTATCACTTATCTGATAATAGAGCTAAAGGATACTTTATGCGGAAATTAATTCCTTCGATGACTTTAGTACTAGGATACGAAATATTATTTACACAAATTTTGTTAACAACTTCCAATTGAAAACAGCTGATTACGTAGTGTTTTGTTTTTGATACTACTTTTAAGGTATTTAGCGTATAGTTACAAAATTTTGATACTTCTGTTTTCTCGCTTCTATTCAAAGATTCATAGATGAATTTTTATTCCATTTAGAGCTATGAAAAACCCTAGGTTATCTGTCTTTCTTAAATTTTATCCTTCCCGTATTAACGCGATACTTCGCCGTTTTAGATATAAATTTACTTGTACATTTGTCGTATGTTTTTAATGCAATAAAATCTAGTCAAAGATGTCATGGTTAGTGTCAACCAGGATGACTTTATATCACGTATAAGGAATACAAATTAATTACATTTACAATTTAAACAAAAAAACCATCAAATTTGACAAATATCAACCATGAACTTTACCAAACTTTAATAAGCTATAGTCAAACACATGCTCAGTGCAAACCTATAGTTAACCCATTGTCGATTGTAATTTATCTTCATATTATTTACCAGTTAGGCATCAAATAAATTTAATAGTAATCACCGAAATTATTAACCCGAATTAATCATACATCGTACAAACAGATTTTAATAACTTCCCACGTATTTTTGATATAAACAAAACATCGATATTTTGTATAAAAAATAACTTGACCAGCAATACAGAGATGACAATGTTTATTTGAATAGAACAAAATTGCAATAGATATAGATTTCTATGGACATCTCTAGAGCTGATTAGGTACCAAACATTATTAGTCAGGAGTACTTTTGGATACCAGGCAGTTAGTTGATATACAACTACAGACAAACAAGGTAAACAGCTATGTTTTTACTTACTATCTAAGTAATATTAAAAATGCAGATGTTCAGATGTATGGATGGATGGGTGGATGTTCATTGAAATCTATCTCCAGGACGGCTACACGGATCCCGCTGAAATTTGGCATAGATGTAGAACACAGCCTAGAAGAACACTACGGCTATTAATTAAGTTTTTTTAATGCGGCGCGGACGGTGTCGCGGGCTACAGTATATATTAATAAGATACAATAATTGGAAATGTTTTTGTGACTCCTGTAATTAAATTAAAAACAAAACGTAATAAAAGTCTCATTTACTGTTTAAAAGGGCATTAGCAACGTATTTAGACAAATGCATGACCGCACCGCCCACATGCTGGCATTAAGCAAAGCCGAGCTTACTTAGTCTTTTGTGTTTAACTATCAACTTTAAAACTAAATTTAAGCATTAAGTAATAAACATGGGATATTTTTACTTGTAAATTAATTGTTTAGAATTACTGAGTAACTGGCTGTTTGGCTCAATTAAATCCATGGAAATTAAAAAAACAAGTTTTAACTTTTTCACGAATATAGAAAATCAAGTTATTTAAAATTTTTAATAGAAAGATAGATAAAATTTTAAAACAAAGGAAAATATGGAGAACTGATCGCCAACCTTCGCTAGTCGGAGAGGCACCTCAAGAAGAAGAAGAATAGAAAGATGTTATGTTTTATTTTAATTTCATTCAGAATGTAAATTCATTTTTTTTACGTAAAATATTTTCATTTTTATCTTCTATTTACGTTTTAAATGATGTTAAGTGACCGATAATGAACAATATCTAAGGACATATTCCGTAAGCACCTGCGCAATAAAGTGTGAAAATTACCAAATTCTTTTTATTTTTTTGAAAGGTACATAACCTTCTTTAAATAAAAATACAAAGTTAGTCCTGCTGGCTTTAAGTAATTGATGATAATTTAATCACACGACAAACATAGTTTTAAGTTACAGTCCGTAACTTTTAAGTATTCGTGAATTATCCGGAAAAAATAGACAAATTTTGTCCCTGCTGGGTTCGTACCCAATACCGTACAGCGGATACAGTTATTGGATTCAGATTTAAAAAAGAACTTTTCTACCCTTTTACTGCCAGCATAATTAGTCACGCTTTTAGACAAAAGCAACCCATTAAAGTTTGGTCTCGGCTTAAAAATCTCATATTTAAAAGTGCTAATTACGATGGCCCGCGAAACCTTTTTTTCACTGTCTTTTCTTTTAAATTATTTTTAAAAGAAATTCAAATAATGTAAAATAAATTCGTAAATCTTTGAATAAAATATTATTTTTCATTAGAAGAAAGGCATAATTAATAGCCAATGGTCGAATTATCAGGACAGAATACGGCATCATATTATTTATTATCGAAAAAAAACTTTACGCCTATTTAAAATCTATTAATTTTCGCTAATGTGAAAATTATAACATTTCGGATAAGGTTTACTCTGATGTGTGATTTATGTGAGCTGTTAATACGGTAAACTGCTTCTTTATGTATCAGGGAACAAGAGATGGAGTGTTATCAAAGCCTGTCACCTACGCACACATATGCATTAAGGCTTCGTCGCCAAAACACACGCACACATACGGACTATATGCCAAATACGTTGCGGTATCCGAACAACGTAAGAAGTCATATAAGAGGCGCATCTTTGAGTTTGCACATTTTAGTATTAAAAGCCCGTCGCTGGCGCGCGGGGCATGTTAGCGAATTTTAACACGTAACGAACATAGCCGGCACTGTTTTGAGGCTTTAACTTGTGTTGTATATTGACCGAGGAACGAACCCTTAACTGTCTGACGGCCTGCAGGGCCAACACCTGCGCCATGGGGCGGGGGTTACAATTTTGTACTTTGGTAAGTTTATCTTTAAATTATATTAACTATTAATTTATTATTAATCTCTATTTATTATAGTTTTATTTATCCTTATAATTAACTTATAGTTAATTATACGTATAATTTTACAATAGCTTTGAATTATAAGATATTCAATTTTTTTTATATATTTTGTAATATAAAACTAAACTAAATTATAAATGCCAATATTTAAATTATAATAATTCATATTAATTTGTTGATATGTATTGCTCTTGAATTATAATTATATTATTATGAATATTTTTTTTAAATAACCGTGAAAAATATTTCTGTATTTTAAAGTAAAATATTAATGTATTCATGAAAATCATGTTTTCGTTTGAGATTTATTAAAGACAAAAGATCCTGCTCTTTATGATACTGATCGAGCGAAAATAAGTTTTTTTTAACAGCCTTGACCTTTTCTTTGGATAGGTATCTTATCACATTAAGAGAGTGAGTCATCGCCCGAAAACACAAAAACATGCGTGTTCTTATAGCAATTTAATAATTAATAATTCATAAAATCATGTTTAAGTTAATGTTACGAACAATATTTTTATGTATAAGTAAAATTAAATTAACTTATTATATATTCGTACGACAAATCACACAAAGGTCCAAAGTAACTTAAGTCAATAAACCGTAAATAAAAAAACGGCAGACGGAACCTTAAAACAGTAAGCCGGTCTTGAAAGACCGATACCCTTTTTATAAGTTTTGATATAACCAATACAATATAACGATATAAGCACAAATTCATTGGTTTAAAAAAATTCCAACTGAATTTATTCAAGTTTAGTTAATTTAAAATTTAAATCTTCACTTGTTGCCACGTGTTACCTCATACTGTTGTCATATTTCACTACCTCACTGGATTTCCTTGACAATATCAACAAAAGCCATTAAAATATTCTACAATAATATACAAGATTTATCTACTATTATTCAAAAAACATCAAGTTATACGATTTAACTAATAATACATATTAATTGAGTTATTTTAACAAGGTAGAAACAACAATATAACAACCGAATCGAATATAAATCGGCTGTACATTTTATATAAAAAACATAGCTTGCTAACAATTTAACAAACCGATTCGATTTTTTATAATCACATAAAAAATTCTTTGTTTTTTTTATTTCAAGACAATTCTCGTTTTTATTATTAAATAAACACTATTAAAGTTATTAAAAATAATCAAAGTTTTCAAATATTAATAATTTCTTTTCTGAACTAGAGTTATAACTTTAAAGAACCTGTTTTTGCAACTTAAATACTTGGTAGATGCACGGAGAGACATGCAAGATGGAAAATGCATTTTTATATTAAACTCCTCGTGTTAATGGTATTATCACAAAAACAACCTTGGTAATCGTTTTTTTTTTACTAAACGCATGTTTTGTTTGTCCTGTAATGGAGCCAAATCGCCTTAAACTTAAAAAAATAATGATAAAGTTGAATGTCCTCTAAAATGGCCTCTGACTAATCAAGATTTAGATCATTATAAAACAAAATGGCGTACACAATTTTGGGAACTTGCTCCATTATGCCGACTGCGTTGACAATTTCCTTAGAATTGTGAAATTCTAGAACATCCTTTTCTTCTTTGAAAAATAAAACAAAACGTACGGATTAATGCTAAAAATCTTTCTTTAAGTTAAAGTAGACTAAAAACTTAAACGAGAAAATGCCAATAATAATTGAAGATCGCGAAAATGAGTAATAAAAAAATTAAAACTCTAAGCAATCTCTCTCACCATATAACATGTCTAAATATTGGAAAGTCAACGTGTGCTACAATTAGAGCAGACGTCTAGAGTCCATTGAATGGAATAATAGAACAAAAGGTTTAAAAAAAACCAGGTCCGTTTTGTCGTAAAACATGTCACCAGACATAGTAACCGTAAAAGTGTATCGAAGCTTTATATAATAGGAATAGTGCCCTCCGAGAGACGGTGACTAGGTTACATGTGCCGTTAAAAGATCATCGAGAGGACGATGACGTAGGCACTGACTCAGCTAGCTCATCCTCACGTTACTTGGCAATTAAACTCGTTTACCTTCATAATATTGAATATCGATTAACTATTATCAATTTCGATAGTTAAACAAACATTAATATTTAATTTTTCTAAAACTCATAAAAGAATTTATTGAAGCAAATATTTGAAAGAAATGTCAATAACCAGATATAGTCAGACCGGTGAATTTGAATATGAATTTTCGTGATAAATTAGGCCTAAGTTGGTATCATTAGTAGTTTTAACGTTCATCCAAATGACAAAACAAACAAATAGGTTTGCCGTAAAACACTCGTATATAACAATTTATTAACGAACAAGGTCGTTATACAAACATGTTACGCAACTTATATGAGACGCAAACTTAGATTTCCAGGCCAAGAGTACTGTAATTTGTTACTATCATTGATTTTTTACTTTACCAATAGTTTACTCGTATTGTATAACACTTGATTTCAACCAAACAACTATTTTAAATCGTAATCATTAGAAATATAGATCGTATTCATATTTGTTAACGGTCAATAGACAAATTCACACGGGAGAGGCCAAAACAGCTAATAATAATTTATATTGAGATTAACAATACGACATATTCGTTTGAAATGATTGTATCGTACGTCTATTGAATATTTACTATCTAATTATACATCCTAAACATTACTAACAAAAAATATTACGTTCCTTTACATGTTGAAATATAAGAAGTTTCTTTGAATAATACAAGGGAATGAAGTTTCGTCGAGAGCGTAATTTGCAAACTCCCGACGAAACGTAATAACGTATGCTTTTTAGTGTCGGGAAGAAAATTGGGCAAAATTATATAAATTATACGAGTACGGTGAAAGAAATGATAAGATAATCTGGCGAACATGCACGAATGCATGCATTTTATAAACATAAAACATGATTATTTATGTATACTTTTATTAAAATATTCCACAAGTAATTTTATTTTTTAACTCTATATAATACTAACTGTTGCCTGCGACTCCGTCCGCGTGGTATTAAAAATAGATGTTGGCCGATTCTCAGACCTACTCAATATACTCCAAAATTTCATGAGAATCGGTCAAGCCGTTTCGGAAGAGTATGGGAACGAAAATTGTGACACGAGAATTTTATATATAAGATTATCTCTATTTAGTATCCCTTATGTCAACTATCTGATTTCTTTCAATAAGAAAAGAGTAAAAAATTAAAAGAATAATAAAATATTTTATGAAAAATTATAAAAGCTTTATTGTGACACTCATTTATATGCATTTAGAGCCTTGACTGCTGATCTATGTTGTAGTTCTAGTAACTCTACTAGGTGTTTCGGAGTCCAATCTATACAGCATAAATTATACATTGTTGTTCTTCAATTATTATAATGTAAAATTTTACACATCTTTCTTTCTATAATAAATAGATAAATCTATGTTTTATCATAGCCGGGTCGTTAGACTCATTTGCAAAATATGTCAAAAACCTAATGGACCAGGGACATTGACATTGTCGATTACGCTCAATTTAATGGGTGTGTCGCAATCCTTGTCATATAATGCACGTCTCACACATTGTGTTGTCAATCAAAACATCGATTAAACTGATAGTGCATAAGTTTATCTCTACTCATATTAACGGTACAGATGTTTTATTTAATTGATTGACCTAATCTAGTATAAGTAGTTAATAATAATTAGTATAAATTGAATACTGTTATAAATTAAGACTTAGTCATTAATGCAGTACATGCAGGACTTTGAAAAAGTAATCTTGTTAAAACATTCAGTTCTGAATGTAAATGTGTTTACGTCAAAAGAGATTTTGTGGAACAAATAAAATGGCACAAAATGTAAAGATATAGTATAAAATAAAAGGTAAATAAAAAGGAAATAGTGCAGCTTTGGGCTATGAAGGAAATAAAATAAAATAAAAAACTATATGAACTGAAACAGAGTAATGTTTGAGCACAACCGTTTGTCGGCACAAATGTAATACATGAAAAGCCGTTGGCTTTTTCCACTACACGCAAGAATTAAAATTTATTGCAATTTGTTCACACACCAAAGTTTTACAAGGCTCAAAAATTTTACTTTATTTTTCCTTTAACCCTTGGCAAGATTTCTTTTTTGAAGAAAAGCAAAAAACAAAGTTACAAAAAAAATAAGTTAAAAATTATTTTATAGTGATCGTATATTTTTATAAAGTTGCATGTATGGTATACTATACAAAATTAACATAAGGGTCAAACCCAATACTTAGAAATTAAACTCCATATTTTTTTCCATAATTTTTCATTTGACACAAAACCACTCTCACACAACCATTAATGTAAAAGACTTCAACGATTTTTATGAAAATCATTTTTTTTTTTATGAATGTGTCTGGAAAATAAATTATCAAAATTGTATAATCTGTATACCTGTAGCCAATTTTGTCTACGAGATTGATATGTTCTTTTAAAAGATAAACAAAAAAACTACTAAAAGAAACTTTAAACTGTTTTCATAGGAGTGATTTTTACAGCTTTGGTTCAAAAACCTAAATGTTAGTTAATTGTGTTAACCATTAGCGTTACATATTAAAATAACTAAGAAAATATAAATTAATGTATAAATTGGTCGATAGTTTTATAACAAAATCTTAAATTAAGTATATTTATCGGGGCAGATATCTTTCAAATGTCGTTAAAATTCAGGAATGCCAACAGTCCACGTCTACGGTTTGATATTTCGTTAATGAGTCATCACTATTTTTAATCTAATGTCGATACAAACAATATTCCGGTTGTAAAACTAAGAGCGGAGTGAGATATTGAATAAAGATATTCGCGAAGAGCCCGGAATAGTTTAAAGGTTGAAGATGCTCGTCGGCTCACCTCTGACAGATCATGATGTAATCAACAGAATGTCGGCCACATACTAAAATAAATAAATTATTTCAATTACTTTATAAGAGAACTACAGAAAATATTATAATGA